TGTCGGAATCTCCTCTTCCTTCCCTGTCGGAGCACCCTCATCGGACGACATTTCACTTCCAGCCTTCACAAAACTAGATGAACGGTTACCTCTTCTTCTTCATTTTCACTTCTCTTTCCTCTTCCTCCTTCTCTACTTGTTCTAAATGTATATATATGACTATGTATCGCTGTGCTTTCATTGATATGTGACGATGAACATGGCGCTCGATGATCATCCAATTGGCACAGATCCTAATGGTAACTCATTCAATTCTCACCACCTGCTTTTCAATTTCCTTCTTCACCTCGTTCATGATTCATCTTCGATGTTATGTAATGTAGGGATCATCCCTTCTGTACTGTAAGAAAAACTCGAAAATCAAATTTGATATGATTAAACTTGTGCTCCAAATCCATCTGCTTTATTCACTAATTAGATTGTGCATATTTCTGGTAATATGGTATATCTAAATGCATCCAGGACCAATGTACTTCAATGGAGTATACCATCTCTTCTATCAACACAATCCAGCTGGTCCACTCTTTACCAATAAAATGCATTGGGGACACTCTGCATCCTATGATTTGATAAACTGGATCCCTCTAGACCTCGCCATTGCCCCCACCGAATCCTTCGATATCAACAGCTGTTGGTCAGGTTCCGCCACTATCCTCCCTGGAAACAAGCCTGTGATGTTCTACACAGGAATCGACTCAGAAAAACGCCAGGTTCAGAACTTGGCTGTCCCAAAGGACCTATCTCATATATGATCCCTATCTTAGAGAATGGGTCAAATACACCAGCAATCCCGTCATAAATCTTCCCCAAGGGGTTCAACCGGATAACTTCAGAGACCCCACCACTGCTTGGCTTGCAGGAGACGAGAAATGGAGAGTAATCGTTGGAGGCGAGAAAGATAAGGCCGGAATCGCGTTCCTGTACCAATCTGAGGACTTTTTTAGTTGGACTGCAATCGATTCGCCACTTTATGAGGCTGCAGGGACTGGAACATGGGAATGCCCTGATTTCTTTTCGGTGTGGATTGATAGCAAGAAGGGGGTTGAAACATCTGTCATGAACCCTAGCGTAAAGCACGTGATGAAGATGGGATTACTGGATCAAGGAAAAGATTACTACCTGATCGGGAACTACAGTTCTGAGAAGGAAAACTATGTTCCTGAAAATGAATTAACCCTTAATTCATTGAGGTTTGATTATGGCAAGTATTATGCTTCCAAGTCGTTCTTCGACCCTGTGAAATGCCGAAGAATCTCGATTGCTTGGGTGACTGAATCTGATAGTGAAGCAGATAATATCGCTAAAGGATGGGCTGGACTACAAGTAATCCAAGATTCATATTCACTTATCCTTAGTTATACCTTTTTTATATTTATATGATTAAGATCATGAATTCAATTATCATGTACATGCAGTCGTTCCCAAGGAGCCTTTGGCTCGATCGAAACTAGAAGCAACTCATACAGTGGCCTATTGAAGAAATCGAAATGTTATGCCAGAACCAAGTTTGTTTTCAAAATAAGAAGCTTGCAACATTTCAAGATCTTAACCGAAGTAAAGGTTTTATCGATTTCAAACAATCAATTTTGATGTTCTTCTTTATTCTGATCATCTCTCCAGGTATGATTACTCCATCGCTTTTCGATTGATTTCTTTCATCTCTGCTTAGGTTTCGGGTTTGATTTCCTTCTTTCTCTGTCCAAACGCACTCTTAAACTCGTTCGCAAAGGTCCTTTCCATCTCTCTATTCTAATCGCCCGACACGCAATCATGCAGACTGTTCTGATTTAGAATTTATGAGTTTTTGATTTCGATTATTAGCTATAAAGTTGTTAGATTTCTGACACTGTTTTTACGGTTTAATGCTATGTAGCTGCTGAACACGAGTGCTTAAAGCGGGGAGTTAAGGAGGTTGTCAAGAGTATCAGACGCGGTAATAAAGGGTAAATCTTTCGAGTGTCTAATAAGTTGCTTCTAAGTTCAAATTTGTTGAAATGTTGTTTTGATTCAACTAGAAAATCGATAAACCACTTGAAATTATTAGGAAGTTAGTTGCTAGAAAACTAAAACGATGTGTTCAATCTTGAATTTGGAGAGTTACACTTCAATATGTTAATCTACAAAGGACAACAATTAGATGGTTGTGTGGTTGCAATTTCTTGTATGCTATTCAATGGTAGGTAATTGATCAAATGTTCTATATGCAACTGTTGCTTAATGTAGGATGTGTACCTTTTAGTTAGTTAACTGCAAATATTGCATCTTTTTGGTTGTTGTTGTGGTGCTAATGTGGATCATGGAGAGGTGTGGAGCTTTGGGTGTGCTAGGGGAACAATGAGATATATTCTTTCTGATCATGGAGAAGTATGGTTGATGGAACTTGCACCAGTGTTGATGACTATAAAACAGTGGAAGCCAAGTGCTTGTTTTTCTGTGGTCGAACCATATTTTTTTAATTTGTAGTGAAAATAAGGATGTTGAATAGGCTAATTGTTTTGATATGGATAATGTGTTGTGTTGATTTCATGGTGATTCAATGATTCTATAGAGCGCAGCTTGATTCGATATGGGGTGGGATCTTGTTCAGAAATAAAGCGTTTCCTTTTCTATTATTATTATTATTGATTCGATATGGGGTGGGATCTTGTTCAGGTGTTTAAATAAGAATCTGAGTTTTTTTATACATTCCTTTTCTATTATTATTATTATTATTATTTATTTCTTAATCATTTTATTTTCTTTTAATAAA